GGGGGGGGGGGGGGGGGACTAGCAGCACTCCATGGCAAGTAGCCCAGGGGCTTGGTAGCCCAGGGACTGATGGCAAGGAGCCAGCAGAAGTATATTTAGAACTTCTGTGGTGAGCCAGCAGCCCAAACGCTGAGTCAGGGCCGCAGGAGAGTGACCCAACGCTGATTTAGCGTATTTAGGTATTTGCTGGCCAGTAAGTCCTGTACCCAGGCCAGTAAGTCCCATAGCCAGGCCAGTAAGTCCCATAGCCAGGCACTGGTTAAAATCTCTGCAGCCCAAAGGAAGCCAGGATGGGGCAGAGCTGGGCCATCTCTGGATGGGTTCCACCAGCCCTGAGTCATCAGGGACGGCCTGAAGGGGGCTGAGGAAGAGCAGCCAAAACCCCAGCCACTGAGGATGAGGATGGTGGGGGTGAAGAGCATCCAATCCTCCGGCGGCCACCTCATGAACCGCCCCCCCCCCCCCCAAAAAAAAAAAAAAGCCACAACCTGAAACTACTATAAGCTCTTGTCAAAAGCTTCCCCCCCCCCCCCCAAAAAAAAAAAGATGCCACATCTGCGAGACCATCTGCTGGTGGGGCTCTGGAGATGGAGGAAAATTCTCGTGGTAGATGGTGGTGTGTTCTCCAGGACGACGTGGTTGGAGGGAAAGTAGCAGAGAGACCCCAAAAATACTCCCAGAAATGGCCAAAGGGAGGCTCCGGGACCCAAAAAACCCACGGGATGGGGAGGTCCAGGAGCCATCTCGGGGGGGAGGCGGGTGGTGGTTTGGGGGGGACTATGGAAAGTCACCTGAGGTACCCCAAGGGAGAGGGGCTGGAGCGAGCAGGGGGCTGCGGGAGGAGCAGGGGAGGGGCCCATCTCCCCACATCCCTGACCCCCAACCCAGGGGCCGTACCCAGGACCCCAGCCCCATCTCCCCACATCCCTGACCCCCAACCCGGGGGCCATACCCAGGACCCCAGCCCCATCTCCCCGTGTCCCTGACCCAGATCCATGGGCCCAAAACAGGATCCCAGCCCCCAGCCCCATCTCCCTGTGTCCATGACCCATCTCCAGGGGCCCAAAGCAGGACCCCAGACCCATTTCCCCATGTTCCTGGCCCAGATTTAGGGGCCACACCCCAGACCCCAGCCCCATCTCCCCACATCCCTGACTCCAACCCAGGGGCTGTACCCAGGACCCCAGCCCCATCTCCCCACATTTTTGACCCCAACCCAGGACCCCAGCCCCATCTCCCCATGTCCCTGACCCAGATGTGTGTCCCCCAAAACCCCCAATCCTTACCCCAGCCCC